TTTTCTTCTGACTTTTCAGTGCCAAAACAATGCATGAAACATCTCTCACAGAAAGGTTAAATAGTGGTCTGTGGATTTGTTTCATGCATTCGCTTTCCTTCTAATCAATTTTTAAAAACTCTTCAGTCCTTTATGGATTTTGTTTTATTTATTGGCATGTAGAACTAGTCAAACAGGACTCGCACCATTGCTAACCTTATTTTTCTTGCATCACAGGGCTTTCCCAGTTTCAAAGGTGATATGTGGATGTAGGTGGCAAATACAAACAGAAAAGAGTTATTTGTGTGCATACTGATGCTGGCAAGTGAAGAAAATGCTCCATGATTGCAAACAAGAAATTCCCACTTGCGTGTATGTGGGTGTGTGTTTGATGTGATCAAAATTAATAGAAATAGACTAACCACATGTAACAATTTTTTTGGAAAGACAGATGTCCCCACCTTCCTACTTATTCCCTCAGCTTTTATTGCTGAGCACAACATCATAATATCCTTCTAGTCAGTTGTCCCAGCTGTGTACCCTCTCAGTTTTTTGTGCACCCCCAACCTACTTGTTGGTGGGGAAGTGTAAGAAGCAGAAAAGGCCTTGATACTGTACAAGCACCAGTCAACAATGGTTAAAACATGCCTGTGTTGTCAACACTGTTTTAATCACAAATTTAAAACACATCACCGTACAAGCTATTATGAAGAAAACAAACTCTATCCCAATCAAAACCAGCACATTCAATTAATTTTCTCTGCATTATTGTGCAGGAAGACTAGATGGCTAAATGATAGCAGAAGATACCAGTGTGGGAGAAACCCCAGAATTAGTCAGTTCAGTAATGATATAAAACAAGAGCCCAGCCCCCAAACTTCCAAACTCAACACAGATGTCTCATTAATTAATGTGAAGACCCAGGGGAGTGATTTAAAGCAACCTGCACTAAGTACCTAGTTATCTCACATACTTCTGTATCTTATTTGCATACTCTTCATGCATGCTTACAAAAAAGAAAATACTTTGCTAATTGCCTGAACTTTTTTTGAGTCCAGTGGTACTCTATAGTTCTCAAAACACTTTTGAAGCTGCTATGCAATTACCATTAAAAATAAAGATTCTAATAATAAAGTAGCATTTGTGTCTGACCATGAGGGTAAGTTTAAGAGTAAAACTCTTTTTTTTCTGAGTTCAGAAAAAAAAATGTTTTGCATAAACAGAGGAGAACTTAGGTATAGGTGTCTTGGAAAAGTGATTGTATGTACACAGACTTTTAAGTGGATTTCGATGATTAGGAGTCTGTAAAGATGACAAAGAAAACCTGTTGTAAATTGGTAATATAATTTCTGACCATCAGTAATGTCACTCTGTATGACAAGTCCATTACAAGGAGGGACATTTTTTCCCATTACTGTGGGAAATAGATGATTACCCCTTTGTTCTCATGGCCACCATTTTAGTACATTATTATACGTAGTCAATACTACAACAGATGTAGTTATGTTTCTCTTAATTTCAGTTTTTTAATTAGATTCTTTTACTTTTTATTATCAGCCTACACTGAATGTACTAGTTTGCCAACCTTTTGCACAAGGCTCAGGGCATAAGTCGAGGCATCTCACAGACAAGTACAATTCTAGGCTTTTTTGAATTGTAAGTTACTCCAGAAGAAGCTTGTGTCTGAAGATGAAATTGATAGAGATAAGAGGTAGACAAAAAATTTGGAGAATACCCAGGGGAAAGTATAGTTGTGAGAAATATCTCACAAGTTTGAGATTTTTTTTCTGTATTTTAGCCCCAGGAAAGGATCTTTCTATGAAATCTCATTTTCTAACAGGTTACAAGCATCAGTTTTAGTATTAGGTTGCATGTCATACTAAGAAGGGAATTTAGTTGTTGCAGAGCTGCAAAACCCTCAAATGCAAATGCAAGTCTATCACATAACAAAACTAGGAAAAATTTTGGTCGTATCGTTTCCAGTCAGGGAGTGGTCCCAGTGCTTTTAGAACAAAAGAGCTCTAAAAGACAAATTGGTACATTATCCCGTATTCAAAGAATTATATGAAAGTATGTAAGGAAGGAGCTGCTGAAGTGGTGAACAAAGAGAAGGACAGAAGCAGAAAAATTACTCCTTCCTTCCCTCCTTCCTTCCTTCCTTCTAGAGAAAATCCAGACACACAGAAGTTTGAAATGTAAAGATACATATACATCTAGAGGAAGCATTTCTTAGCATAGAAGGGGTGTCAAAACATTTATGACCAACAACACAGAGACAACTGTTGTAAATTAAAGAATCTATTTAATTAGGTATTAGCAAAATCCTCTGTCCAGTCAATAGGAAAGCTAGTGGCTCATAAGCAGACATAATTAAATATAGAGATTTTATTACTTTAGCATTCAATTATATGCCTGAGTCTTTGGACTTAATCTTTGGAAAACATTGGTGAGGTAACTTTTAGAATAGATCTTCCTGAGAAATTACAGAGTTCCTATCACTTAATCCTTTTTCTTTTAACAGTGAAGAATTGTGCTATAGTTAGAAAATGCCTTCACTTTTTAGCATATATTTGAGTTTAAATAGGTCACCTATTTTGTATTATGAGATGGTAGTTCTGACACTAGATCATTTGGTCTGTACTGATTGTTCCATCAAAAAGAGAAACACCATGGCAGCTGCATTTGTAGTTATCCAAGGGAATGCTCCCTCAGACTCTCCTAGCACCCAGCTCACCAGCTATTGGATATCAGAAAGTCCTCTTAAAAACAACTCAAAAATCACTTGCACTGATTCTTGCTTTACCTGAGCAGTGTTCAAGGCTATAGATCAAATAAACTTGAAGGAAGAATGTTGAACAAAGCCTTAAATGACAACTCCTCTTTGAAGTGATGAAGAGGTGGAAATACATTGCTACAGTATGTAAAAAGCATTTCAAAATATTTTATCTCTACCCTTCACAGAGAATTGAATGAAAGTATCCAGGTTTGTTGTGAAAAGGTAGTGGCTAACAATCTTAGCACAGCCAAAAAAACCTAGACTGACTACATGTCTTCTTTCAGCATGGGTTCCACCAGACCACGAGTCTGTTGAAACTAATATGCTTTAAGACCAGAAGACAGCCACTCCTTCCATCAGCCACTCCCTGGTGAAATTAGTATTTGTTAAAGGTCAGTTGCTCTAGAATTAAGATGGAAACCCAGATATGTGTGTGCAGGCTGTCCAAAGGCAGTGCCAGCTGTTGACCCAATGCCATGAAGGTGACCTTTTGCACATTGACATTTATGATCCATTCCTGATTATTTCATATGTGGAATATCATATAGTCTTACCAGTGGGAGGCCCATCCCAAACACTGAGACATAGGAGGAAAAAGCATGCGGTTGTTCTCAAGCATCTCAGCTGTATCCCCCGAGTATCAAATTAGAGGGACCCAGTCTCTATTCCTTCAACAGTCCAAGGCACTTTCCCCAAGAGACAAAGTAAACTAACAGTACCACGATCTTAAAAAAAGAACTAACTCTTATCTGAATCCATTAGATTCTGTTTCGTGTCTGTCATAAAAGATAATATGTGGAAGCAGTACATCTATGTGCAGAAGGAGCATAGATGGAGTTGCATCTGCCTTGTACCTCCTTAAAACCTATTCTTGGCACTTTGTTATCTTCCAATTCAAGTGCAAGAAAACTAATTGTTTGCCCAGCTATGTCCCTAGAAATTCTAGGAAATGACCACATTCTTTTCAGCTTTCCCTCCATGTCCCAGACAGAAGCGGGTCATCAATGCACAGCATGGTTTTGCCAAGTGGCTGTCACTCCAGCTTGACTATATCAATAATATATTTTATTAGAATATGTTGCATATATTGTTCCCCTAAAAACTTTAATGTATTTATATTTTGCATTAAAATTCCTAGATTAACTTAGAACTTTTCGGAGTTCTTAAAAAAATCATTCATTCTGATACTATAGGTTGGTTGAGCTTATGGAACACTGTAGTATTTTCTTTCCCAGTCCTGCTTCTTTCCGACATACAGTCTCAGTTAATTAATAGCAACAAAAAGAGAACTTTAGCCAACAAATGTATTTGATTCATGAGTAGGAAGGTGTTCTAAGGACAAGGTTTTCATGTTTGCAGAGGGGTGATTGTAAAGCATGCTTCTGTTGGAGCAGCAGAGAGGAAAAAATAGCAGCAGATCTTACATACTTTGCAATTATCGACCAAGCATAAAACAGTACCAAGACTAGAGGGTTATCATATGGCCCATCTCATAGATGCTTGCTTGCATCTTCACTAGTTTCTTGTCTTAGATTGTAGGCTAAGGCAGGACAGAACTCTTGCCAAAGAGTTCTCTGTGCACGGTTGAGAGAGCTTGATTAAAATGTAGTGATTTCAGAAATAAAAATAACCTTCTTCTTAAAATCAATAGTTATAGGTTGTAAGTATTACCCTAATCTTCTGTGAACCAAGTATTTGTTGAATTGGTTTATTCCCATTTAGGAAGCTTTCAAAAATCAACCTAAATCATAGTAATAATTTAAAGAAATTGTGTAAACATCAAATTCAGTGAGCCATGATTATACACTGGTCCATTATAAAGCTTGGGCATCTGTTTTACATGTGTATTACTAAGAAAACTCTGTACATACGAGCATTTTACTACAAGCAGCCATAGCAAGGACAGTTGCATCACTGTCCAACACATTTTCAAAAACATGAAAATACAGTTTCTTCTCCAAAGAGCTTGTATTGCAGTTTTCACTAAACACTCAATGACTTTTAAGAACAGGGCCTTGATAGTTCATAGTTTGAACTGAAAATCGGTATTTGAAACTCTTTGCAAATTTTGTATAAAGAAATATCTGAAGTGCATTGCTGTGGAACAAAAACTTTCATTAAAAAAATTTAACATGGATCCATATGTGACAATCCTAACAATTTGTTAGTTAATGTCTATGATTGCTACTAGAGAAGCAAACACAAAAACTGACTCATGATATTTATTTTAGACACAAAGAAGCAGTCAGATACTCCATATTTTTATTGTCAGCAAAATAGATCTCATCTTACTACAAGCAACTGGATCAAAACATTCATTCTTATCACATTATCATAAACTCAGAAGTTACTTCAGTGATGTAGAAGACAGTTTCAAGTTAGCAGTTTCAAGGACGGGAGGAATGCCTGCTTTGAAATTGTTGCAATATTGTTAGGAGGGAGAGAAAAGACACCTTGCAACAGCAAGGAGCAGCAATACTGTTTCAGAATTATAGGTATAACTACATCACAAAACACAAATTCGAAGCAAATCTGTAAGCATCACATTCATGTGGAATCTTACAGCGAAAGTGCTTTATCTTTGTGTGACTATAGTCACTGCTATTTCTGTGTCAGAGCCAGATTGCTTTGAAACTGCTCAAAGGTTAGTCTGCTGCCTCCCATTGCCTCATCATCTGAGGTTCAATGGGCACACATCATGTATATGTGTCCTAATGAAAGAGGGTAGGTATTCCACATTTACATATTAAATTTAATATTTCCATCTTCTGGTGTGCCCATTACATCTGCTGAATTTTCCCACTTCAAATTTTCTTCTGTAGCTGTTTATCCTCCAGATAAATAAACTATGCTAAAAATGGTCTGCACCACTGATCATCAACAAAAGACTGAGGAATCAATTTCCTATTCGTAAAATATTCTGTCCCCTTTTGTATAAGGCCTTTTCTAGGATTTTTTTTTTTTTAAATGCAAGTCATGTCAGGAAACTGGAAGTCAAATTCCAATAGGAGCCAGTAAAAAATTTTTTACAGTGTGGATGGTGAAATACTGAAACAGGTTTCCCAGAGAGGTGGTGGATGCCCCACCTCTGGAAACATTCAAGGTCGGGTTGGACAGGGTTCTGAGCAACCTGACTCAGTAGAAGATGTCCCTCCTCAGTTTCTGGACTACATGACCTTTAAAGGTCCCTTCCAACCCAAACTATTTTATGATTCTACGATTCTCTATCTTATTTGCATTAGGTAATTCCAAAGACAGAAAATAAATCACACAGTTCTGGTGCTGTTATATGCATGGGTTCTGTGAAAGGAACTTGAAAGCTAACTGTCACAGAATGTAATTTTACAAGAGAAGGCACCTCCTTAAAAAATCTGCTACTGGATTTTTTCTTTTCTTTTTATGGAGAGCAGATACAGAAATCATGAAAAGCCTAGCACTGGTAAATGAATTTTGTTCTGCCTCCTGCAATGTCAAAATGTTGTTTTAATTTCTAAGATCAAATTTCTCATTGTTTATAGCAATGAAGAAGAACACAAAATCAGAACCAGGGCTTACATATCTTGTAGTTCAAGCTACCCTTATTATTATTACTATTATGTCACAAAGATGAGTTCTTTTGTAGAAATGACAATATGTGGCTCCATCTCTATTGTATTTCTGTGGTTTTCAAACTAGTAAAAAGTCTACTATACTTGGGGGCAGGGGTAGGATGGAGAAATCATCAGTCCTCCCCTTCTTATTATTTCTAATTTACTATGAAAAAAAATTAATCTAAAATCAGAGCAACAGTTCACAGTTCTGGTTAATTGGCTACATCGATTCCATCTCCACAGACCAGCAGTATAAATGCCAAAGGACTTAAGTGACCAAGACTAGGTAATAGCTTCAATTCAATAAAAAGAGTGAACTCAAAAGTATACAGTTGAATACCAGAGGGACAGTCTTCCGTCCGTCTTCCATTGCAGCACAAAAAAAAAGTACACATTCAAGTAAGAGAAAGAGGATATTTAAATAAATATACATAATTGTAAAGATCATTATACTTGTCACAGCACCTGCAAGAGAGAAGATGTTTGATATTTCAATACGATTAGAAATCCACTGGATTCAGCTTTTTCATTATCTTCTTTGATTATCGCACAATGATTTGGCTCAAAGTCTAGTATTAGGTAATAGTCCTTGATTTCTTAAAAAACAAAGTTGCTGTTACTAGCCCTGTTGGAAGGAAATGTAAAGACCATGGATTGCTTTCTTCTTAACTTCTGCTACTGGAATGAAACTCCGCATTCCTGAGAATACAAAAGAACCTGAAATGACTGTCCATTTCTTGGATCATTTCTTACATTTCTTCATTTTTCTTAAAGTGTCCTTAGACAGAAGATAAATTGACAGACTGGCACAGTGTCATGCCTAGAAGGGAACAATGTGGGTGACTCAGTTGTTCATTGGATAGTTTTAGACTTTCAGAGAGACGGAGAGCGAGCGCACACCAGCTTCTGAACTGCCTCTGCAATAGCTATTATTCATCTATCCAACATTTCCTCACCATTTCTTTCTGTATTATAGGGAGCTCACTACCCAACCTTGATGTCTCAGTTATAAGTCAGGGAGTTATGATTCAGAAACCTACTCTTCCACAGAAAACAAAAGACCAGCTTAAGCTCACTTGGGAGATAAATATCTCTGCTGAAATTTCACATTGCTGAAAGTCACCTAATCGGGTCACACATGCTCTTAATAGGAAAAGAAGTTCCCACTTCAGAGTCCTCTCAGGAATAGCAATCACTTCTTTTCAAAAGCTTAAAGTGCATTCATGTGACAAAAACAAAGAAACAAGCAAAAAACTCCATCACCAATAAAGAACCCAAACAAGCAACACAAACCAAAATGATAACAGTCCTGCTAAGATAGCAATGTTGAAAATGCAGTTAACAGAGACTGCCTTTCTTCAGAGGCCAAAATCTGTCAGGCCCTGAATTCCAGCTGAGTATTTACAGTCCTTTTTAATCATCACAGTATCAACAACTACCTTTATTCCTGAGCTCAGTTACAGGGCTTGGTTGTTGGTCTTTTTCCAACTCTGTACCAAATCATAAACCAGAACTTCAGTCATCGTTCTTTGCTATGAGAGTATTGTGATTTTGTGAAACTGGGGAGATAGATTATACTGCATGTAACAATCTGGAAGAGGGCTTACTGATCACTTCTTCATAAATGGATGAAATCTCATTGCTGGCTTCTCTTGCACATTTGCATTATATAGCTCAACAAGCCCACCAGCTTGGTGCAAATATCAGTGCAACTGCAGAGGCACTTATAAGTAGGAGAGAAAAGACTGCATTCACATATCATAGCATAGATGCCATGAACTGCTCATGAAATCTTCACCAGTGGAGTTCTTCAAGGCTGATGAATGTGTGTAGCATGCTGGGGAGTGTATGAACAGCTATAGAAGACAACTGTTGCAAAAGGGATTCATCTTGTGGAGTAAAAATAGAGGTTTCTTAGACATCATAGACCTCCTCTTCCGTGGCATGACCAACCTCTCCACAAAGTTGGCGGAAAGTGTTGCGCCTCAGGATCTCCCAGCCACGGTGAGAACTAGTTCTGGATGTGCTTCGTGACAATGACAGAGCAGAAAATTCCTTCTTGTACAGGATGTCTCTATTGATTTCCAGCTTTTCTGATCCTTTGTCATAGTTATCCCTATCCTGAGCCTTAAATGCTTCTGTGTACCGCATCATCTTGTGTTTGTTGGGATCAACCCTGTCTTCAACTCTGTAAGAGGATTAAAAAACGTAAACTGAACAATGTGGAAAAGTACCAGTTTATCCACAAAACCCCTCCACAAAAACAGGCATGCTGATCTTCCAAAAAATCTACACAGAAACAGAAAACTGATTATAGGCAGGGTGCTAGGGGCTGCTAGCACAGTTATCTCCTAGACATTTATCCACATCATTGACTTCAGTACCTTGGTCTGCCCATGATTTCTTGTCCTTTAACTTATTTCCCAATCATGATTTGCCCTTTCCATTATGCCAGCTGTAAGCAACTTGAAGACTTAACCCACCTGAGTCTAGTTCCAGATTCTTTGTGTATAGGCATATATTCATCTATTTCCTCTGTTCTTGACTTTCCTCCTCTAATACTCCATGGCTGTCAGACATAAGGATGCCCCTTATTCTTTAATGCACTTTTATTTAACTGCTCCACTCCCACCAACCCTTCTCTACATTACTTATAAGCTGTCTTCTGAAATACTGTCTCATGCTACATACAATGAACATACATGTAATTTGACAGAACTAGTTCACAGCAACACTCTTTTCTCATATCATCCAGTGCATAATTGCTCTTGCAATACAATGTTTTATTCTGCATCTTGATCTGAAGGTGTTGCATACTGGTACCATTTTAGGTCTGCTTGTTCTTCCCAGTAAACCTGAAAATCTACAAGGCTCGATTCTCTGTCAAAAATTGCAAAAGTTCTGTGCAGGGCCAGGAGTTGGACTGTGATGATCCTTGTGGGTCCTTTCCAACTCAGAATATCCTATTATTCTATGATTTGTACAGCCGCCACTCCCCCTTCTGGCTTTACCAGCAAAAGATGGTGCAGTTAGAAAAGACACATGCCCATAAGGTAAATCATTTCTTACCTGTCATAAATATTGATTAAAATAAAAAATAATGAGGAATTTAGTTTTATCTAGACTACAGATATTTTGTTAGTTCAGTGACTAATCCAAAATCCTAGACATAAGATTTGTCACCTGATGTAGTTGTTGCAAAATATGATATAGTTACTAGGTTCACATGAGAAAAAAATCTTAACTCTAATTATTCCAGTTCTGATTTTGAATCATTTGTAGAGTAGTTCATTGCCGTTGAATGCCTAATAGATTAACTCTGCCATTTCATGTATCTAATGGATAGGGTCAGCCAACCAAGCACAGCAATGAAGTTTTGTGATACTCATTATAGTAAGTTTGAAAGAAAAATTCAGGCCTTGCAACTCATGCAGTTTCTGGGGTCTGTCCATGTAACTACTGGATAAGAAAACATCATCAAATTTCAGAAGGAAATGCACAGTAGAGCTTTCTGAGGGGAACAGTGCTTGCCTACCAGTCACAGACAGAAAACAGATTGGGATCTGTATTCTGTAAGGAAAGCTCTCCAAACACTCCTCCCCAGGCCACTGAAAAGGCTCTTTATTAACACCCATACATTGGATTCTTCTTCTTAGATCCTCACATGCACACACTAGAAGAGAACTCACCTGAGATACCATCGGTCCCCTAACCCATATTCCCGCCCACAGATTCCCGAGCGAGGCCAGAGACACCTTGGCAGTTTCCGCTCCAGCATGACAGTAGTAGCGACAACCTTTGGAACAAAAAAAAAGAAAGAACTTAAATGAATTAGAAAAAAATCAGACTCTTTTTCAAAATTATCAGTTTTGTGAGCACTGACCCAAACCATACTTCATTACCAGCTCCTTATGTAATGAAAAAAATAGTAGAGTCAATACTCCATTTATTATAGGGCAATCACTATTTTAGGTCTAACTGTGCCATGTTTTGTGGAAGCAATGGTGGCCTTAAAACAGTGTTAAATTTCTTTTCTTTTATAATTGATGACAATGAGTAGGATAATCAATTTGCAAGCTAGAGAAGAGCACAGTATCTATACCCACATTAACTCATCACAACTTACCAATGTGGCCACATGACTACATTTAACCATTTGACTGATTGCTTTCTCACAGAAGAGTACTAGGAAATGGATTTCCTGTTGATTACCTATAGAACTGGTTGAATTTTTTTGCCTTCTGAGCAAGAGAGTCAGGTCAACTTCTCTTAATAGATTTTAAGACGTCACTGACCCTCATGCAATCATTACCTTGCATTCTATCCCCCCTCGGTCAATCCCTATAATTATAATTTAACTCAGTTACACAGAAGTGTTATTTGTAAAAAAAGACACCACTTTAATTCTATTTAATAAGAGATTCTGCATGCAGGGAGCAAACAGCTAGGGAGACACAGAATGCACAAGAGAGGCTGATGAGTTTCTAGCTGTTATTTGAAATAAGGTAGGAATGCCAACCTTAACTAGATTACCTGGGCTCTCCAGAGCTCATCCTGCTCATGGGCCACTCTCCAGTGGGTATCACCCATCATGGCAATTAACAAGTTGAGCATAAGGAGGGCAGCAATGATGGCAAAAGCAAAGTACACCACGCTGTACATAAAGGGCAGGTCCACATCATAGTTTGCAGGGCCATCAATGATAGTGAGGAACAGCTCAAAAGTGGTGAACAAGGACATGGGATAGTTGTAGAATTGCCCAAGGTTTTCAGGATTCTCTGTCTGGAAGATGATGTAAAAAGCTAGAGGAGAGCAATGAGAGAAAAAGAGAGAGTTTAACAACAGGAATCACATTCCAAGAGAAACAACAGGGTCCTATAGGAGATTGTGACAACATAAAGTGGCCTGGGAAGGAGCTGCATGTGTTTCTATGCTAGTGCAGAACCCAGCAAGGACAAATCCCTCTATAGAATCACTGGTTTCTACTATAAAATGACCCAAAATTACTTTGATTGTTTATTTATTCTCAAAATAGTGAACTTAACTTCCTCAAGGATATAATAAAGCTATGTGTGTTAATCTCATTTTCCACAGACAAGTATCAGAAATGCAGTATGTTTTTAAACCTGGACTTACACATATGTGGAATTATCTGAATTATCCTATTTCTATTACCCTGGAAGGAGCAAGAATTGAAAACCAAACTCATGAGAACAGAAATCAGTACTGGGAAAGTGACCACACTTAGAAAAATAGAAGCTATATATCATCACCACCTTTGCCAGCTTTTCAGAGGGCAACCAGAAATTAAATCAAAATCCACACTCTTAATTCATACCAAAGCAGTTGTCAAGGGTAACATATTGCTGTTTTTCTTTTGTAGACTCACCTGATGCAAAGCCTAATATCACCACAGCCATGAGCCAGCAAAAGCGCATAAGATCTCCAAATATCATCTGTAGAGAAAAGACAGAGCCACCATAAGGCCCAACTGTCCCACCAAGTCGCAATGCAACCCTATGTAAACATTTTCCCAGATTCTAAGACCATGAGTGGACTAAAGGAAACTTCTGAAGCAAAGAGAGAATGTGAAAGTCCTAAATCTTCTGTGTAGACAAGAACTTGCCCGTTTGCCATTAATTCTAGTCCTGAAAGAGAAAAAGTATTCTTACAGTTCTTCCTATCCTAAAATAGGTGTCAGGATGTGTGTAAAAAGTCTGTATTTGTGTCTTATACCTTCTGGATCATGATGGTAAAAGGTCCGAGCATCTGGAAGCCTCGTGCGAAGTACATGACATTGCACCATCCTAGCACCAGGGCAAAGGACATGGGCACCACCTCTCCAGTGGTGCTGGTGAGACGCATCACCATGGTTACCAGAATCATGCAAGCATATGTGATGCTGCAAAGAAAAGACAGTGAAAAAAAGTTCAGTGGAGGAAGATTCAGTTGAGCCAGTAAGAGAAATAAATCAAGAAAATGAATACTCTAAAAGAATGGAGAAAGTGATTCATCTGGCAAAAGACAGCAGTGGGGGAAATGGGAGAAAATATACTTATTGGACTTAAAAAGTGCTGTACTTACACAATTATGTGGAAAGGACCTCCTAGGATTGTTTGTCCAAAGTATTTCGCTGCTCCAACTCTAAGGATATCTGGGATCTAAGAGAGACATCCTATTAACTTTAGGACTCAGATTCCATCATATCACTAAATGTCATGGTAACCACATACATTCAGAGATTCCTGGAGACAGCTGCATCTGCCTTTTTTGATGGTTAACAGATTGATTTCTTTGTTACTTTAAAATCATAACGGTTGAGGCTGGTGGGCCCTTCTTGGGATGAGACAGAGGTTGCTGGAAAAATGCTTGGGCACATTGAGAGACGTCACAGAGAGGTGCCGTGCCCCAATAATGTAGATAAAAAAGACCTTCTAGGGGAATCACAGGAGTTTGTTATTATTCACACTGTGTAAGCTGCAGCCTAGCCCCAGAGTCCTGACCAAACATAGGAAGATGGACTTGTCCTTCTGGAACATAGAGTCATAAAATATCCTGGGTTGGAAGGGACCCACAAGGGTCATCAACTCCAGCTCTTAGCCCTTTACAGGATCATCCCCAAGAGTCACAGTATGTGCTTGAGAGTGTTGTCTAAACACTTCTTGAACTCAGAAAGGCTTGGTGCTGTGACCACTTCCCTCAGGAGCCTGTTTCAGTGCCCAACCACCCTCTGGGTGAAAAACTTTTTCCTAACATCTAATCTAAACCTCTCCTGAATCAGCTTCATGCTGTTTCCTCGAGTCCTGTCATTCATTCCGAGAGTGAAGAGATCTGTACCTACCCCTCTGCTTTTCCTCAGGAGGATGTTGAAGACCCCAGTGAGGTCTCCCCTCAATCTCCTCTTCTCCAGACTGAACAGACCAAGTGACCTCAGCCTCTCCTCATACGGCTTCCCTTTCAGACTTTTCACTATCCCCATGGCCCTCCTTTGGACACTCTCTAGTAGCTTAATGTCTATTTAATATTGAGGTGGCCAAAACTGCACATAATACAAAAGGTGGAGCTACACCAGTGCAAAGTAAAGTGGAACAACCACCTTTTTTGACCGACTGGTGATGCCGTGCCTAATGTACCCCATAGGCAGAAAGCTGCTTACAACACCTGTTTTATTTTCAGTTCTTCTTGGCATCATCCTCTGAATTTTCTCATACAAGTTTCAGTCTTCTATTTTATATTATAATAAAATCACATGGGGAATAGGTTTGTTCTAATTTAAATAACTTTCACTTTTTTTGTTGTTTTTTGGAGAGTTCATAGTAAGGAGAACAACTAAATATGTTCACCTCAGAACTCTGGTTGAGAAAGGCTGCTGTTACAAGTCCATAGAGTAAATGATCTCCAATTAAATATAAACTTTTCTGTGTACACACAGAATTCACTTCATCCAGCACCCCTAAATACATAAGTATTTAGGGGAGCTGGATGAAGCAACATCTGGGAGTCAGCTGGACCCACGGATGGTGCTAACAGGAACTGTGGCACTCCCCTGCATATAGTATTTGAGAGTATGACCAGTCCTTCTAATTGCTTCTTCGGTGCATGGAGTCTTACTAGGACATTGTCAAAGTCTCTGTCTCATCTAATAGATACTGTTGACAATGTCTATTGCCATATACCTAAGAGTAAGCAAATACCCTTACCAACTAGTGAGCACAAATCAATGTTTGTATAATAAGCAGGATTTGTCTTGACAAAACTTGAAACTATGCAGCTCACCATTTCTCTTACCTCAAGAACCAAAATTACTACAGCTCCAATGACTGTGATCAGCTCCCCCACCAGCCTCAGCTCATCCTCATATGCCACATAAGATTCCTGGGGAAAAAAAAAAAAAGTAAATGGATATTAAAATTAAATTTTAAAGAAAGTGAAAGTAAATTTAAAAAGAGGATGGGGATGAAGGCAACCTACTGTTACTACAATAAACATGACTAGACTTGGCAATGCCACAGGAACCAGCCCAGCTCCACAATGGAGAACAGAGCACACCTCGTATTCCTCCCTGACAATGGTCAGCTGGCCAAAAGAGAGTACGAGGACAGCTGTAATATGTGTGGACTGGGAATGGCTTGAACTTTCCAGTTAAGTAGGTTATGTGGGAATTGCCCAATGCTGCCTATAGGGCCCTGACTCCTACAGTCACAGTACCTGCAGCATTTTCTGGACATAGACTGTATTGTCTCTGCTGCTTGTTTTGTTGCCCGTTCGGGGTTTCAGAGGTCGGTAGACGCAGCACATAGTGAAGCAGACCATGTAGAGTATATAGAATAAAGCCAGGAAACAGAAATAGGGACGACCATACATATTCCACTTCAGGCTCACCAGCTCCTTCACAGGTGTTAGGTCCAAGATCTGGCGCGCCTGAGAAACATAGAAAGAAGGAGTTAATTGCCATAAGTACATTTTTTTTTATAAGCATCATTCACACTGTTTCCTGGGAGAGTATTAACAAACTATTCTGACCTATGCTATTCAGAATTACAAAGTGGAATTTGTTTTGAAAATGCAGGTTTGATTTTACACAGTTTGACAATACGGAGCTTTGGAAAAAAAGTAAAAAATATATCCTGCAGAGAACAGCTTTTGAGTACCAGTGGGAAGTACAAGAAAAACATTTTAGATACTGGAATAAGTTTTTCATCTATTTAGGAATGGAACTGAGGATGACAGAATATTCCTGTTAGTAGTAGAACACAAATTTTTTATCAGATGTTTAAGATAAGAAAACCACAACATTTTCCCAGAAGATAGATGTATTTGTCCAACACCCTATGGCTTACGTAGAAGAACTACATTTTAGGTTTCTGCATTATATTATCTGAGTGATAATTAATTGAATCATCTATGTCAAACCTTCAGCTTTTGTTAGAAGACTGACACTTAGAGCATAAGTAGGAGAAACAGGGTACTTTACACTTTACTTATGAATTTGACCCACACACTACAAGAGAGATAATGTACCTATAGGTGTTCAGTTTTCTGCAGAAATCAGTATTCTAGAATTCTTTGCATAGGAAAGTAAATTTCATTTTCAAAGGGATGATATAAGTTTGAAGCTTACTATAATCTTCCTGTAGATTAGTTCCCTTCTATTATTTTACTTTTCATTCACTTAAGGATCAGAAAATATATCTTAGTACCTCTGTGTGTATGCATTCCCCTTAATACAAGAGAAACTGCTTCCGACTGGGGGTTAAAGATGCCCCAGGAGGGTATGATAATGTGGGGTAACACATAGCATTCTTCTAGAGGAGACAGCAAACATTTTGGGCCAAACATATATCAAATGCAAAAAAGAATAACTAGTTCTACATCAAAAAATTGCAATTGCACATTTTTAAAAGCATTCTGGAAAACAAAGAAATCATTATATCCCTTGATGCTAGGGGGCATCTTATCCTTTGCGCTATGTGCATGTTTTGGGATAAGAAGAGGCACAATATTCTGCTTTCTTCTAGGATTATGGTTTAGTCTTCTAAAGTGAACAACCTCGAAGGTTGCTCTTCCCTGAATTTCTCTATGTATCACCAGCCATAGAAACATAGACTATTTTGCATAAAAGCAAATGAGAGCTTCATAGACTTCCTCCACACTGTACAAAGCTCTCCAATAGCTGAAACTTCTGTTAGAAAAGTTTGACTAAAATTTTGATAGATGGAAATAATACAGGATGGGTAGAATTGGGATAATTGAAGTGCCTTCTGATTCATTTCCTGTCCTATTAGGATTATTTAAGGTGACTACAACTGACAGGGTGGTGTACCTTGAAAGTCTTATGGAGATCTGTCTAAGCTTGCCATTACACTCTGCTATTTTTGTCTTAGTAATCCCTTTACAAGTTTTTGAGCCTAGAGCAGAGATAATTTGCCCCCTTTGTTTTGAGTAATAACCAGTCATTAAATGAAAGGAATAATAACAATGAGTGGTTTTAAAATGCACTCCAATTTAGGACTTCTGAGCATAGTCCTGTCTCACAGGGGCATTGTGAGAGTTAACCAGAATCACGGTTGTAGGAAGACACTTACTACAGCTACTCTACAGGTACTTAGTATGTCTTTGAGTTTGATGAGAGACAACCCTTTTCTGTAGCTTGCTCCTACTAAATTCTTTCCATAATCTACAAGTTTCACACCTCAGAAGAAACTGTATATAAAGCATCAGATGTAGATGTAGCCAGATCATTAATAAACTGCTACACTTCTTGTATTCCCTGCAGCACATGGTATGAAGTTCTTACTCTTTGGATCATATAAAAGAGCTTGAACCTTCAAATTCATCATGTTTCTCCTTTTGTAATCACCATGGTCTGCACACAGAAAGCACACAGTGCCCACAGTACCTCTCTCTTCTTGGTTGATACAATGAGCTCAAGGAAGGACTGATCTTCAGCCCAGGAGTCAATCTCTGTGATATCATAGAGCACAGTGGTCAAGGGGCCAAAAGACCAGAGATTCTGCTTCCTCTTCTGCATAAGGTATTGAAACATCTGAGGAGACAAGAAGAGGGCCAAGGATATCAGAAGCTTTCAAGTATATGCATTTGCAATGAGAACAAATAAAGTTGTTAAAAACCCTTAATTATGACATATTTTTTCTTGAACTTGGTACTTGCCGTGGTTCTCATATCTCTCAATCACAGCAGATTAAGTGGAAGAACTTTTCTGATTTCTATTTGGTTATTAGCTCATGCTTGAGGTAAAGGATGAGTAGTCTTTACTCTAAATTCTAATCAAACTGCTAGAGTTATTTGACACAGTCATACATCCTAACAATAGATTTCAGATATTGATTAGAAACACAATTCTTTTATACTCTTCTACAAGTTTTCAGAAAATAGGTATGACAAGGGAAATGATCCTGTCCTTACTGGATCTACAGAAGAAATACTAACCACATTTGTCTTTTTGTTGAGGGGAAGGAAGAGATTTTGCCTAAAATGATACGTTTTTTTCTGTGAATAAATGCCTGTGTATACCTGGAGAAATTTCCCACATGTCACATTTAGAGTAATGAACTCTAGACAACAAAGACAACAATTTCAGTGAGACTTTCAAAATATTACTTGGGGTGAATCTTTCTGTTAATACCTGTTTAATTCAAATGCTTCAAAAATTGGGTAAAAATATCTATTCTTTAAGCACTCATTTCTTTCATTAAGAAAAGGAAATTTTTTATAAAGTGTCTTCTGGTCGTACATGACACTTTTAGTAAAAAAAAAAGTACTTGTTACGATCTTCTATCCACTAAGAACATGCACAAGCTCCCTTGGTCTAAACGATGTTATTTCAAGTTCTCCGTTGCTCTTTTGTATGGAGGTACCAGTGTCACACAAACTCACCACAGTGTTGCCCTCAACTCCAGCGAGTTTGAATGGAGTAAGACCTTCATTGTTAGGGATCAGTTCAAGTGATCCTGATCCCTCTTTGTTCCTGTCATAGGAAAGAATCAGGCTGTACATGTGGCAGGCAAACGTCTTATTAGGCTGGAGAACGAGGATGTGAAGAACAGTGTTACCTGTGAAGAAAGCAGACCAGATAAATTATGTGGAATAGCCCAGCCCTGTGCAAAGACTGAGAACTGATGGGTGGTTTTTATTTTCCTCACATCCCTCATTCCACATTTGCTTGTAGTGAGAGAAAAATATTTGAGTACACAAATGACAGAGTCTGAAATAAAATGTCCAGATTCTCTGTATGCCCCAGAGCACATACCCAGAGAATCTTGAGCTCTGATGTCAGCTCCATTTTCAATGAGCAACTGTACAATTTCCTCATTTCCCACACAGGCAGCAAATGATAAAACATGCTCTCCTGCAATGAAAGGAATGGGGAGAAACAACATTAAGAACCCAGGAGGTAGGAGAGGTTGAAGCATGCTGAGGGAAAGTTATCCATGCTATGAAGCCAGAGGATATGAAAGGAAGAATTACTTTAGGTAACCTGTAAATTTCCTGCACCGCTCCTCATCCTACTCAGAAAGGAAAAGAAGACCTGCCCCACAAAACACTAAAAGAATGAAGTATTCTTTTCATGACTTTACCTCCATGAGAAGGTTGACAAATAATTCCCAATATATGCTGGTAGGAAGATATTAAATTACAATTTTTATACAATATATATTTTTTATACATGCAAACATATAAAATGTGTATTATTTATATTTATGTAACATTTACATACCCAGATGAAGTCTTACTGTCTGATAAAAAGTGTGTGTCTGATGACACTTTGAGATAGGACCCTCTGCTTACCCAGTTTAGATGGGGGCTAAAGTAAGCCTCCCTCATACCCCCTCACCCGATAGCAACAAGGGGAAAAGTTGAGGCTGTACCAAAATAGAAAAGGCTCTGGGAGCTGCGCCTGAAGAAGTGCCCAGTGGCCTGTGCTGTGCTGGCATCGGCTCCTCTCTTAAGCAAAGCCTTCACCAAAGTGATGTTCTGGTTTGCTGCTGCAATGTGGAGAGCTGTCTGCCCTGTAAGACACAGAAATAAAACCTTGTCTTCCAAGAAAGTAACTTCAGGCTGTTCAGTAGCCTACAGTTCACATGTCAGTCATGGTGAAGATTTTGGGACTGCATCCACAGCAACTATAGGAATTAGCTTTGAAGTTATCTCTGTTGGGTGCAGAGGGTTGTATGACAGATTTTTCCAGAGGTCCCATTCTACTTAAATCTTTTTATGAAATCATGAAAATTGACTTTACAACCTGCCAAAAAACCTCAACAGGATGTACCTTCTAGTTTTTTTTCCATGGAAAAACAAGACATACCACACTCTTCTGGGAAGCAAACTATACATAATCTTGCAATCTCACAGTAGCCAACAGGTCCACCTGTGGTTAAGGCCTTTGCACATGTGTGTACTTGCATTTAATATAACTCCACCTTCCATTTGTATATTGGTTTTGCTATGTAACAGTTTAGCAATATATTGAACCTGGAACAGTATAAGCCGATTTCCTAAATGTACAGGTAGTACTTCCTCTCTTCCCCTGCAGAGAATCCTGTCCATCCTCATTCCCAGCAGTGTTACCTTCATAGAGCTCTGATGTCATCCTCTCATTGACAAGCTCAGGAGCTGCTTCCATCAGAGCCACTGCCACCTCCAAGTTATCATACAAAGCAGCTACATGAAGGGCAGTCTCCCCCACTGCACCTAGAAACAGTAGGAGAAGCATGTGAGTCATCTAGACATTCAACTGTATGGGACAAATGCAGAAATAAATTCATTGAGGTGGAGAATTATGGGAGTGCTAGGTCCTCCCTTGAGTACTGCTTGGTACAGCCACATAATTGCACAGTCTCTGTCCTTCACCAAAATCCAACAGCTGAGCAGAAACATCAGGTATTTGTACCTGATTCAGGCAGACCTCAGGCCTGAAGTGAATGAGCACACCAAGTCAGAAAACTCATTTTGTTGCAAAGCTTCAGACACAGGCTGCTAATGCAAAGGTTTTAGCAAAATAACAAACTACTCACTGTAGGGAGCTCTTGCCTTCCACAGAAACCCATTTTTCGCAAATAATCTGAATTACCTCTCTGATAGATATCACATGTTCCGTCAGTGAGAAGTTTCCTAATGGCTGCAAGGTCATTCTCTTTGGCAGCCTGGAGGAGTGGGGATTCCCAGATCCTACAGTCAAGAAAAAGAGGCTCATAAGAAACAAAATCAAACACATGGTGCCTCTTTCCAGAGCTAGCATGGCTTTTGCTCAAGACAGCATGTATCTTGAACATTTTCACTGAAAAATGGGTAATGCACATCTACTGTCTGAGGTATTCTTTCAATGCACAAAGAAAGAACAGGCAAAAGCAGAGCAGTGCAATTCTAAAAACCTGGTGAGATCTTCATCTCTTGGCTTACTGAGGCTAAACCGTATGGTGGCAGCAGAGGGAAAGATAGGAGAAATGAATAACCAAAATGTTTCTGGTTTGTATAGCCCACATTTTGAGGCATAGAAGACAGTGGGTCATTGATGCACTTCCTGCCGGTAGACTAGTTATCTCAGGAGCCAGAACAGGCCAGTTGTTATTTCACACAGCACAATAAATTAAAAAAGGTCATCTGAATTGCTCCCATAAGGCATAGAAAGGTACAAACAAGAATGTCATTTGTGTTGTAGCAATGCTTCCTATGATATAATTAAAAGAATGAGCTCTGAAATGTAGTTCCTCGTTATACAAAGTCATGAAGAAAAATTTGGCAGCTTAGCTATTAGCTACTTTTTTCTCTGATGCTGAAAGAATTGAGGAAAATGTTGAGAACTGCAATTATGCATGCCATGGGAAAGAGCATGCCCTCAAACAAGTTCCAGACTGAGTGGTTCACTTATAGTTGAAGCATGTCCTTGAATCTTCCATGAGGATCTGGGTTATCTGAGTATATCCTTTGGGGCTGATGAAGAATTTACAAGTACAGCCACCAAACTTCACTACAGCAAGATCTTTGGAAGCAAACAACAGGTCAAGGGAGGTGATCCTCCCCCTCTACTCAGCTCTGGCAAAGCCATCCTTAGAGTCCTGTGTCCAGGTCCTAGGATCTTCAGCACAAAAAGAGTATGGAGCTACTGGAGAGAGTTCAACAAAAGGCCACAAAGATGATTATGGGACTAGAGCATCACTCATATGAGGAAAAACTAAGAGAACTGGAACTGTTTAGCCTGGAGAAGAGAAGGCTTGAGTGTTGTTCTTATCAATTTGTATAAGCACCTGAAAAGAGTTACCTGCAATGTATGCTTGCTCAGCATCCAAATAAGCTTTGCCAATTTTCAAAACTACAAGTTGGCTACCAAAAAATCACAGAAAATTAGAACAGAATCTCCTAAGTTGGGGTTAATATTTCTGTTATCCTTGAATATCTTCAGGTTTATCTTTTAATTCATAAAGAAAATGTTTTGGGGCAGGGTTTTTTGGTTTTATACAAAAAAAGAATTTTAAGTATCCTAAGTTCAGGAGCTGAAGATTTAAGGGGAGGAAAAACCTCCAAATACAAAAAAACAGTTTACAGCTCATGAATTTTCAATATGAAATAGAAAGAGATTCCTCTTTCCAAACAGGAAAAGTTCAGTTCCAGATCTCTGTTCAAATGCAAATTTTGAGCTTTTTATCTCACCTCTGCTTTATTTTAGTATAGATGTTTAATTTGTTCTTGATTTTCTAGCATGGCTTAGGTCAAGCTGTAGCGTGTGATGCAGGGATGTCTAAGGATTACAGTAGAACAATAAAAAAATTCAAGCTGATATGAAGAACACCAGGCCTCATTTTTCTACCAGACTCAGTCTGTGCTTTCACTATAGTGTAACAACTGCCAATAGTCTGTGTGTTAAACACACACACCCCCAAAAAAGCACATGGGACAAATATGTTGGTCAAATCTAAAGACACAGTCAATGCTTTCTGCTTGTGATGTTCTGTATATGTTGGTATTATTTAGTTACAAGATTTTGGGGATAGGGTTTATAGGGTAAATAAACCCTATAAAGTAACAGGTGTTTTGCATTACATGATAACACTGATGTGAGAATACATTACCAACGAATATAACTCTACTACAAACTACAAGAAAATTCACATCAGAGACAGAGAGAATATAAATGGCCCATTGCAAAAAATGTTTTCTTACAATTTGTACATCTTGAGTATAGGAAAATTTAACAATAAAATGATAGGAAAACAGGCAATGTAAATTCCGTGGCTTACAGGAATATATATTTCTTGCTTTAAATTATTCTGTTATGAATAACAAAACCCTGAGGCAATTTTTTTTTATATGCCATTATCTCTGGATTTAATCCACTTAAAATGTGAGAGTTCTGCACTCCTTTATAGTGGAAAGACACTGTACACACTGGAGAAAACTTGGGAGATAAAGCAAAACAAAGAGAAGTACCAGAATTACACAGATAAATAGGAATCATTTAAAGTAGTGTATATTAATGGGCACAGGCTACAAGTAATAAAATCATAACCGATATATTATTGGTTTATTATATTTATCATTCCACAAAAGGAGCATTTCCTGTCACCAAACGCTCTAGAAAGTAGACTAGAAAAACTCTGAAGAGTAGAGGAGAATAAGATATAAAGAACCATCCTCAAAAATTAAGCAGCCATTCTGAGATATTTTTGTGTCCTCCAAACTCTTAGCCTTGCTGCTTAAGGAAGTATTCCTTCTATAGCTTACTCATGCGTCAGTGCATTAGTAGCTAATGACAAGATGATTTGATGAGAAGATTGCATCTAGGATCAGACAAATAGGAATTAAATAAAGAGGCACTCTGAGCAGAAGTCGTAAGATCAAGTATTAGTGAAGTCAGCTTGCCACCTCTACCACTATTTTGGCTGAAAAAGACTCTGTATTCCTGGAAAATGTAACTTTCAGAGGCAGGAAGTGGAAAAGAGGTGGGGTTTCAATAGTATAAACAAAGCTACAATTAATATGTTGATGCTTTACTGGGTAGGCCTTTATCCCTCAGATGACCTCACAGAGGAGGAAGGATTGGGCAAGAGACAATGTAGGAGGACACAAACACAATACCTTTCTCACAAAAATTACCAAAGTCCTTGTAAACAACTAATTAAATTAAAATATTGCTACGAAGAAGATACTTAATAAATACAATACTCTTTTGGAAACTCAAAGCAAAATTGTCAAACATTTCTTCTTATTGTAGCAACCTCCAACTGGGTTTAAAAAGCCAGAGTTCTCAGGCCAAAGGTCAAGCCAGAAGAAGAACGGAGAAATGTTAGTAAATGTCATGGAACACTGCCTGTAACATCTCAAAGGTTCATGAGTTACATATTTATAGCATATGCTTTTACTCTCATTTATTTTTCTGTCCCATAATTGGGGAGACATTTTACTCCCATTTAAAACATACCATTCTAATTATCAACTAATTTTTAATATATTAAAGCAAAGTACTGAGCATATAAATGTCAAAAACTAGGTGAAGCAAATTCACTAATATAAAAAAATTACGCAAAGTTGCCTGAATTTAGAATCTTCAAAACATTTTCAGTTATTTAATTTCTGTATATTTAACCAACTTTCTTCCTGACTGGTCAAGTGCAGCATGAATTTTACATTTTACAGCTCGACTTCCTGTGTGTCAAAGCAGCAGACGGCAAAATCTGTAACTTAGTCTCTTAACAGAGCTGCCTACAGTAGATGCTTAGTTTCCATAAGGAACCATCATATCAGTGGATGGAGAAGGAGGCTTTCAGAGAATTATTCAGCAGAGACATATCTAGACACCTTGAGAAGATAATTCAGCACATCTTAGTTAAACTCCTGTTCTAATCCTGTTCGTTCCCTTCAGCAGGTATGGAATCAATAGATATTGAGCTCCTAATTTAGCCAGATAAGTTAGGTTTGTAACATTAGGCAGTATGGATGTTGTCTTAGGGAATCAGTTTAGGATAAGCACAGTTACAAGGCAAGTTCTGATGGGCAACGAAAACCACAGCAGTATCCACCTGGATGTGTTCCTGGGTTCTTCTTACTGAGCTAAGGAATGTATCTATGTTGAGGTACTTAGTAAGCCTTGATCATATGTTACTATTGTTCAGTTTTCTTCATGGATTATTCAATTATGTGCTCAGGAAGTGTTTTTCCAATATAGGTGAGAACAAAATTAGGAACACCTGCAAATCCATTGTGAAACAAAGAGAAGATAAAATGTAGGTCAGATTCTGACTGAGGGAGTACTGTAATGCAGTTTTAAACAAGGTTAAAGATTTCATGAGCACTTTCTGCTGGCAATATGTACCCTTTTGGATTTACAGCTTCTTAAGCACTTCTTTTGGAGTGCATCCTGCTCATTACACTCATGGAGAGATAGGAAATGCAAGGACTAGTCCATAAGTCTTAAATCTGTTATAAAAAGAATTGGGATTTATATGGTTATTCTTTAAAACAAGGAAATATATTAAAAATATGAACTGTCCGGACAACAACCAATTGTAAGCTTCTATTTCAAGACTGAACTCATCAGAGGGGCAATGAAGCATCTCTGTCTATTCTTCCCTTCTCAGATTCTAAACCTTCAGTCACTCACTGTATAGAATTTTCCTATTGCTTGCTCTAGTTCAAGTTTGCTTCTATCTTCATGCTTTATCCCCATAGATAGTCAGTTCCTGAAGTTCTAAAGCAATTATTTCTATCTAAGTTATAAATTCATCAGCAGGATATTATTTTAGCTTTCTCTTCTTTCCCTGTTGTGGTGCTCAAAATATCAGTGCTCAACAACGCATCATGAAATTGCCAGAGGAGATTTATCTTCTCCTTTCCTTCTACTAGCATGTGCATGTAAATATGTGGAAGACTTCAGGAGAGCAGAGGAGAGCACAGAGGAAGCTAACCAGGTGAGAGGGATCCAAGCAATCATCTCACAAGATGGCGAAGAATGAGTTAGGAAGCAATTGCATGAAGTGAAAAGAAGACAGATAACAGGGGCTTGGACAATCAACAGGGTCAGCACATTTCTTCAGCACTAACAGCAAGACTCAGCAAATTAACTGGAACCTCTTGCCATTGTCTGTCAAAGACCTTTCAGCTGAGAGTAAACAGAGATTCTCTGGAAATAAATTAAACAGGTTAATAATTGCCAATGATACTAGACAAGAAACTGATAGGGAATTCTTATCCCTTCAGATATTTAACTATCTACCACACTAAGCAATAGAAATCTTGGTCAGTCATTTCCAGCAGGGCATTCTCCTTGTGTTAACTTCTTTTTTTTTTTTCCTAATTCTGCATCTGAGACCATTCTCATGCTAGAACTGGATTAACAGTTCAGAATGTTTTAGTTGTTATTTATTATCACTAAGTCATTAAAAAAAAAATGTTCTCTGAAGCATTTGTGATTTCTGAAGCATCTTTTGATGCATTCTGCATCAAAACTTCTAGCCCATTTCAATATGGATTTTCTTGCAGTTTTATTATAGGTTATGTTCCTTACCCTATGTCTAATCATTTTCTCTAACAGCTGTGTAGTTTGGGATGGATTTTTTTTCCTCTGGGCACAAATTTCACATTTACTTCTTCACAAGGAAACCTATAGCCAAGTTTAAGAAGTCAAATAACTTCCTAAACCTATGAGCCTGAACCGCATCTTAGGCACTGAGGTGGGATGTGTGTACATCTGTGCATTGCTGGGGAAACATGAGTTCTGACAGACCTTTACACCTGTGAAATTAAGGAGGCTTGTTTTCCATTATTAGGCTCAAAGCTGCCATTAGGATGAAGTTGTAACAGCCAAAGAAAAGACCAGAAATGCTGTCACTGTTGCTTTTGACTTTATTTTACATCCAGTGAGAGAGTTTCCAATAGATTGTTCTTTGCATCTTGACTACTCAGAAGCACTGTTATTGAAACATATTATAAATGAAGTGGTGGAACTGGAAGCTGCCAATTTTATTTCACTGTCACCTTTGGTAGCAAAGGATCTGATTAATACTGACAGGCATAGCGGATTTTGAGGCAGGACGATCCTATGTTAATTGTGGGCTGAAAACTCAGTAATGTTGTTTGTACAACTGAACAGCAAATCTATGGTGACATCTCATTCACTACCAGGTTGAGAAAGATTTGTCTAGAAGCTGAAGGATCTCTGTGTCCCTGTACAACTCTTAAGCAACTCAGTTTACTAGCATTAGACTGAGCTACTTTTTTATCTGTGCCATGTTTGTTTTCAGGGTAAGCAAAGCAGCTTGCTAATATGTCTGTGATGCTAAAAAAATTGGAAAGTAAAGGGGATTTAAAGTTTATATTGTGGCATCTTTGGAATGACCATCTCTGCAAGTTATGTAAATTATTCCAAGAACCTCTAGTGTATTATTTCTCATAGCACAAATTTCTATACTTAATTAATATGTAAAAATATTTTGAGTGTTTTGGGTTTGGTTTTTTTTTTTTTAAATGTACCACACAAGTTAACCATTTTATTGTCATTAGAAAAACTAAGCCTCAGAGCACCACACGAAGGCCACTAATCCCTAAGCAGCAGCTGTGAGAGAGAAGAAACACAGAGAGGAGAGATTATTTATCAGAGTTATAGACAGAGGAAATAGTAGAAAGAAAAATATAACATAATTTTATTTATTAGTTATTTTTTATGAACAGTACAATTCTCATATGGTGGAATTTCTAAAATTACATGGTAGAAGGAATTTGTTCATATTTCCTTAGAACCTCTTGCCCTGGACTAAAAAAAAAAAAAATAAAACAATGGTTCTCATAGTTTCCAGAAGATCTATTACACTGTGACAGGCATGTGATTCTTCACCTCTACGAGGGCCAAAATTTCATAAGTATTTATCTCTTTGTTTCCTATCATTATGAATTTTGTTGAGGATTTATGCTTATATGCTCTAGGTTATATAGATCCCAGAGTTTGCTTCCAAAGATAATTCTAGAAAGGACATAGGAGATGTGACCACTGTCCCTGGGATTCCACACTGAGCTACAGGCTGTTAAAAAAGGAGATCTTCAACAGAAAGAAACCAGCAGATAAAGGCCAAATAAACTCAAACTCCTCTTTAATGTTAGGAGATTGTATCACATTTCCTGACCCTGGTTTTTCCTTTGGGAAATGTTACACATTGCAGTATTAATCCCTCTCTGTGGAAAATGCTCAGATCTACACCTAGTAAGGTTCAAAGAATTGTTTCACATGAAGAAAGAGAATGAATAGCAATTCCAGTGAGGGTGACAACTCCCAAAACAGTTAGCTTTCAGGTATTATTATCACCAGTTGTAGGACAGAAATAAACACTGTTCTTCTCTTGCAGACTTTCTGTGTGCAGAGAGAATATCAGTTAAATAGTAACACATTTACCACTGGCTTTCAGTAAAACAATAGTAGAATTTAATCTCTGCTAATTGCTCTATGTATTCCAGCACTATTAAGACTAAGAACTCAAGCTGAAGCCACAATACTGCAGTTCTGCACCACAAAATGACAGGATGTAGCAAAAGCCCTCTTGGTGTTCAACAGTTTTTCCACAAAAGCAGAGGTTTTGAAAGAGTAGTTCTCATACACAAGTCACCATACAAGGTCTTCCTGTTGTATTTTAATATCTGTACATAACAAAAAATGCAAAAGCAATAAAACTGAATTAAGTCCTCTGCAAAACGTTCATTTTCATTCTCCTCACACTCTGAGCATCTCTGGGGACAAGAAGGGAAGAGTAGGATAATAAGAGGAAGAATTTGTCCTGTCCCTGTTTAGGAAAAGAGTTTCCACTGGCACCACGTAATTTCTGACCAAATAGCAGAAAACTTATTTGTGTTAGTTGTAAGCTGTAGGAAACATATCGACCTAGAATGGAAAAAGAACAACTGTGTCCCCATACAACCCTGGTTTCACAGACAGTGATATTGTATGCATTACATGTGTTCTTACACAGACCTTTATAAAAAAAAACACAGAAAAGGGAACTGTGGGGACCACTGGGATTTCACTGTAGTGATTTAAGACAAGTTTATGAAGATGAGTTTATATGCCTTACAGGTTTTTCTGTTTTCCTCTATCAGTAGCAACACACAATATGTTCATGGGCCTGTGTAGCACAAGACTAGTGAGGAGTAATGAGCAAAGAAAGGGTCAAATGGCAATCTAACTAGCCTATGTGAAAGGGAGCACCAAAATGGAAGGGGCCAAACCCTTCTTGGTAATTGCCAATGATAAAAAAGGGACTAGAGCATCAAGTTATGATCTTGGAAGTTCATGTTGAATATTTGGGATAAAATCCTTTTTCTCTAAGGAGGATACTACAACACCATAACAGCTACCTGGAGCTACAGCAGAATATCTGGCCTAGGAGGCTTTCAAGACTGAGCTAAACATGACTTAAGCAATGTGATCTGTTGCTGGCAGTAGTTCAGCTTCAAGTGGGAGGTTAGATAGAGATCAGCACATCTTCCTTCCACATCTCTTTGACTTAAAAATGTGAAGATAATGTCATAACTACAAAATATTTTTATATTACCAATATTTATTATTAATTGATATTAAGTGTTAGTATGGAATTAATATAACAATATAATTGATTTAATACTTTAAATATATTTAGACTTCTGTTTTGTACTCGTTTGGATATTACAGAATCTGCTGAGAACTTATTTTTCGGTTACTTGTGGTGGTTTTCATGAGTGTAAACACTTCAGCATTCCATGGAAATACTGTTGTTCCCATTGCCCCTCCCATTTTAAGTGTGTTTAAGTCCTATTGCTCTGAAGTAAACTTGAACATGCTTTTTTACTTGGTCAGAAGTTAGATGATGATATATCTAAGTTCTTTCCCTACAGACAAAAATGTACCTTTGTCCCTCTTAAGCTGCTATCCTGCTTATTTCTATTCATATATGTGTGTATACATATACATATGCATAGATAAATATCTTTTTGCCCCCAGAGATGTTCAGAGTTTTGTGCAGAAGGAAAAAAAAGATTTTATAAGCAACTGGAAGCAATTTGTTATTTGAGTAATGCAGCATTTGTGCATGTAGAAATGACAGGGAACAATGAAAACCAGATACAGCTGTATTTCCATGAAGAGTCCTCCATTTCTGTGGGTGGAGGGAGCAACTCTGCACAGCAGTGAAAAACAGCCTTGATTCAGTACTCACATGGGAAGACACAAGCAATCTTCTGGATAACATAAGCTCTAAGAGGAGTCACTGTACATGTTGACACCGATGTCACAGGGGTGAGAAACAGCAGTCCAGCTAAGGAGGTGACTGACCACCAGAATGTTGGACAATATTAGGTCTGCTCTATCCCACAGTAAGGGCAACATTTAAAGAGACAGAAAGCAGAATCCTCACAAAAAAACTCTCTGCTATTTCAACTGACTGTAGCATATACATCACACACAGTCTTAATAATAATAATAATAATAATGGTAGTGATAATAATAATGATAATAGTAATAGTTAAAAACAAACCTTCATGAATTTTCTGGTGAGCTTTACCAATGAAGCAGGAAAGACAAGAGTACACAGTATTAATTTGTGACTGAAGTCCTGCACTCAGGGTAATTTAATTTCGACCTAGTAAATCTACCCGTGAAAGCAGATAAGATTGGCACTCCAGAAGCATTCCACCTTGAAAGGAGAAATCTGATAGAGAAAAGTGCTCCAGGGTTGTTTAAAGTTTATCTGCTGGCAGAAAAGCCTAAGGGGAAATAGTGAGTATCAGCTACAGGGATCGAGCAGCAGAAGAAAGGGAAGACAAGAAGGCTAAAATACACTGTACCTTTTCTGCTGGAGTAAGTAGATTTCATCCAGATGTTTATCCCAGGATTTTTTGCCTTGCAACTTCTGACTTAGTCCATTCCAGATCCGGGAGTAGAAGGGATTGTTCTCCCCGAATAAAGGTACCCCCATATCAGGTCCCTTTTCCTCTGTTGCCTAGCTGCCTGAAAGCCAGCAATGCCCACTTGGAAAAAAGTCAAGAAGGCTCACTACAGGTCACCACTCCTCCAGCCCTGGTCGCTTACTTACAGAGGAGACTGTCTGTCAACTGCATCAGCTGATCAAAGTACATGTAAAAACACAAAATAAAATCACTTGTTCCTAGCAGACCATACCTTGAACCTCATCAATTACTTAGTTTCCAAAATAGCCCAACCCAAAGGTGTGTCTGATTTAGAAGTAGCTCACCAGCAGCCTACCGCTCAAAAAGACCCTGTACAGCACTGAAGAATTCATGTAGCATCAAAGTCCTAGGCTTCTAGTATTTGTGATTTTGAAGTCTAGAATTTAGAAGCAATCATCCTCTTTTTGTATCTCTGAATTCCTCTGGAAAGCAACATGTAAGCAATTTTGAAACAGACAGCTGAACAACTCAGGCAAAACACCCTTAAGGTGAGTGAACATGTGGGAACGTGCCCTAAAAGACAGGGCACTCTGGGAAGGTAGTATAGAGGAGGACACACCTCCCACCTCAGCTGTCTGCAAATCCCATTAAAGAAATTATCATTACAGACTCCACCTTCTCCATGTAAAACAAAATCACTTTACTCCACTGATTGGAAGCAGAGTTTATGTAGATTAATGCATAAATTTTGCATATTTCATTTTCCTTTAATGTTCTAAAATATCTCATTATGTCTTCACATTTCTTCCAGAAAAATCTTATTTAGGAATTTTTATGTAACAAAAACTAGTTTTTGGAACAGAAAAACATAATTGGGGGGGAGGGTGCAAAGCAGTAAAGCCACTATCAAAATGAAGAGAGGAGACATCCTTTTTCTTGTGAAGAAGCTGGAAGCTATGTGGGAAAAGAAAAAAAAAGAAAAGAAAAGAAAAGAAAAGAAAAGAAAAGAAAAGAAAAGAAAAGAAAAGAAAAGAAAA